TTAATTGTAAACAATTAAAAATATAATATATATATAAATTTTTATAAATTAAATTTATTAACCAATCAAAAATTGCGGCAATTGTGAAAAATCACATTATTGCATCATAATTAAAAATAATTGCGGCAAAATCATATAATTGCATCATATTAAAATAATTGCGTCAAATTATATAATTGCAACAAAATCACATGATTGCGTCATATTAAAATAATTGCAGCACAATTGCGACATTGCGTCAACTATAAAAAAAATTCGTTTGACTCAATTATTAAATTCTTGATTTTTAATTGCACCTGACTTAATTCAATAATTTCTGCCACATGTATAGGCCACACATTTGAGCTTCAATAACATAGATATATTCAATTACATATCCAAAGATTCCATTCTTCAGAATATCATTAAGTAATGCAATTAGCTTTAATCGAAATACCCAAGCACAAAGGTCAGAATGATCTTGTGCTGTTTGTCCTAATAGCAATACAGCTTGAATTTCAGGCCATTTTGGGTTGCATGTCATTGTGATGAAAAGATCTGGTTTTTCCAATTGCCTAACAATGGTCATCGAGTCTTGATACAGTTGTTACATATGCTGTGGACCTTTAATAAAACTTGAAGGGAGTATAATTTGATGACCAATATGAAGCTTATTTGATGGTAATTTATCATTTGCTGAAAGTGTATCTTGAAATTTACTATATAATTCAGCACGAATTTGTTTTTGATTATGTTTTATATAATTTAGATGACTTTGCTCAATGCATGCATATGCATCAACAATATATTGTTGAAAAAGACGACTGGATCTATGTAATGCAAATAATTCAGTTAGTTTGTATATTCACAAATGCAAACGATATGTATAATATTGCATCATTGATATATAATCTCTAGTTGTGTTATCATTTGTTGAAATATCTTCTTTACTATTATAATCTGAACTATCATTGCTAGTAGATTCTGCTTGAGAATTATTTATGTGAATACCTGGATGCCATCCGGGATCACCATATGGAAATAGCAAAACATAATATAATGGACTATAGCTATGATGAATTTCTGAGATACACTGGAGACCACTGCCTTTCTTGTATAGTATAATATTACAATTAGATGGCTTAACTTCTTGACTATCTTCAACCATAAGAACAGCAACTTCTAATGCGGTAGGTATTGTATATTGACGTTTATATCTAGTTTTGACAATAACAATCTTTAAATCTTGTATAGGATTTTCTTGTAAAACATGAGCTGCTCTTCGAAAGATATGTGTATAAGGATTAACTTCATGTAGCATTGTTTGAAGTTGCGCAAGTGTTGTTGGATTTAGGTTTGGCATTAATAATTGTCTTTGTTGTAAGTGATCATTTGTATCATATATATAAATCTGACTGAATGATGGTGAATCTTGATTTTCAGGTATAAGAGAATCGATATAGTGATGTATTTCTCCTTGAATATGAAAATTGTACACACCCTGTGTTCCAATAACACGTTCATCGATTTTGTCACCCATGGAGGTAAATGCAAGTATAGAATTATACATACAAATCTTTTTTCGAAAATCATGTGCTTGCAAACTTTCTTCTGTGAGAAGCATTTCTAATAATTCCGGTGGTGAAGCAATAGCAGGTAGTTTCACCTTGCCTTTTGTACAACAGGTGTTGAAAATGGGTGCATGTCGAGATCCTACCACTTTCTCATCTATCCAATATAATGCTTTGCATTCCGAACATTCAATACTCATACTTCCAATATTATGTAAAGATACAGTCTTTGTATTATAATTCTCAATACGTGCTGCATTAGAGATACGATTTTT